GACTTATCTAGGAGAATGGATATTTATTATATCCAAGAGAAAACATAATGGCAATGATAATAAACTAGCAATATTTAATGGTATTGATTATATCTGTCGCAGAATTCTATGTATGAATTAAGACATATTTAAAAGCACTATTTTAGAGGAAACCTACTAAAAAAAAGTACTTTTAATTGGTGTATTTTAATTTATAAAAATCCTCGAGAATTTCGCTCAAAATGTTGTGAACAATCAATACAATATTAGGTTTAATTTAGGATTTAGTTAAGACGTTTAATTTCAACGTAATGTACAGTGAAGTTACTTAATAATATTCTGTCGAATTCAGTTCAATGGCATAATTAATAATCCTCTCTCATTTCTTATGATAGGATTAAATTAAAAAAATATATATAGTTTTAAGTACTTATTATTTTATTTTTAAAGACGAGAAAATATATAACATAAAAAACTGCAAAGGCTTTTAAGGTAATGAATTTAGGAAAGGACATACTGTGAATAAATAATAATGAATAAAAGTCGATATTAAAAAAAAAGTAAACCTGACTGTCGTAAAACTGTTACGAAAAAACATTAATTTTTTGTTTAGTTTAAATATATTAATTAAGAAGTAATACATTCTGAAACAATTAAGAGCAATAAGTCTTGGAGTTAAGTATGTCACATTCATAATAGAGAGAGAGAAATACTTCATTGAAAAAAGGGCTGCTCTACTATATAGAGTTGCTTTTTACACAGCATACTAATCAATCCATATGGACATATAGCTCTTACATCATATTATCCGATTATTATATACACACATACTTTTTTTTATGTTTATGAATGACAACAAGGTAATAACAAAACAAAAGCAAATGATAGAACATTTCAATTAATAATAGTATCAATTATAATTACATTTATATTTCTATAAATACAACTAAACTAACTTTATAAAAAATAAATACAAAATCAGTTGTGAAAACATAACCCCTTCTCTTGGAAGAGATGAAGGGATTTCCGAGAGTAAGTTCCGCAGATGGGGGAGTCCAAGATCAATAGCACTTTCCTTCAGATCCACGTTTTCTTGGTCGGCGCCGAACCAATGTTAAATCGGAAAATACATGGCTGTTTATTATTATTATTTTCAATAAAGAAGCTTTGTAATCGACTAAAAAAATAAAAACTCCCTCAAAATGTGAGATTTGACGATTCAAAATACGCAGAATCCCGAAACCGGATAAAAAATTCCGTCTTTCCGCGGATTTTCCCCGATAGCACAGTGCCGATTGTTTTGAGATTTGGTATCAATATCAGAGATCACGTGAGGATGATCCTTGGAACTGTGCATTACCATCCGAACTTTCGTTTCAAAAAGATGGCCAGAATACCTGTGTCACTGTAGATAGGAGTGCAGAAAAGTCTGTAAAGATTTTAGTGAAACTGCTGCCTCCAACGATAAAAAGCTTCCCCGCATATGGCATAAGCTAAATTATAAATTTTCCAAAGCTTATGATGTCTGGTGAATTAAATGGTAATTACATACGTATAGTTGCAAGTATTTAAATATTAATTTAATCTGAAATGTATAGTTATGTCCTTATGGATTTACTAGTATGCTGTGTATAAAGAAACCCTATGCAGTAAAGCAGTATTACTTTCAATAGTGTATTTCTCTCCCTAAATAAAAAAAAAAGTAATTATTACTATTATACTATTTTAACTTTCTGTTGAGCTTTTTAAGTTATCATCAGAACAAGATCGGCTAGAGGTGTGTCTTGTATAGTATTTTTAAGCAATAACAAATATTCTGTTTTGTTTAGTTTACCATGGATTTCGATTTTAATGATAGCAAAAAAAAATTATAATTTTGAATTTTCATTAAAGTCCGCCATTTATTTATCACATTTTAAAAATATGTTTTATTACAACCCTCAACAGCTAGCACAAATGAAATGATGAATTTGTCCTCTTCGCTAACAGTGATTTGTTGGAGCATGAATACATGTAATGTTATTTAAGCACCCTTTCTTTTTAGATAACAATTAGTATTATTCAAGTTATTTTTTTATAACTGCACCAAAAGTACTGGATGTTGGAACATAAATTTTCTAATAACGGCTACTAGTCACCCAAGAATATGATAATGACTAACTCAAGATTTATGAGTTGAAACTGTTATATAAAATATAACCGCATGGAATAAAATTAGATAAATCCATAATCATAATACAGAGCAACCATATTCGGATAGGAGTAAATGTATTACCGATTGGGTCGGCTAAGGATTGACAACTGACGCTCCGGGCTCTGCTCTCCATCAATCAGGACCTACTCTCTGAGATAGCCGAAAACGGAAGAGACAAAGTGCTGCCATCTAGGGGCAAACAGATTGCCTCTAATCGTCACCCTCTCCAAAGAGGTTAGAACCCCGGTCAAGGCGGCGCTGACTCACCTCTTTGGCTATTTATTCCTTCTAAGGATATTCAACAACAGATGTTCCATGTGGCAACCCCTCCAGCTAGGAACTATTCGTGTGTCTCTTTTTGGGCATGAAGCAGCGCCACTGTTGCATATCTCATCACCGCGGCGAATTGTGCAAGAGGGGAGAGTGAACGTCTAGTTGATGATTGACTTTCAAAAGTTAAATTAAGAATGGTTCCATCGTTAGAACTGACGTTAGATAGCAATCCTCACTAATGCATTCAACATATAGTAAGCGACACCAAGCAAACACGTCTATTCATATATATAATAAACTATTATGGACGTAGTCTATTCAACACTCACAATTACTGAAGCTTCATACTTTGCTACGGCTGTTAAAGTAACAATTAACTTAATAGGTAATCAGCTTGCCCCATTGCAAAATACCCCTCCAGTTTATTATTCCAGCAATAAAACAAGGAAGACCTTAAACTTAGACTAATTAATTATTGCGGTCGCTCAAGTAAATGTACCAGTAATAGGCAGTTTTAAACTCATTAACATGTTATAAGCTTTACAAATGTCAAAAAGAGAGTGCGAATACGATTAGGTTTGAAATTAGAACACTTGGAAGGTGATGCCTGAACCTCAGGCGATATCATGCCACAATAGCAGATTGGTTCATTTTTCAATGGAGCAAGGCTGGGTTTTAGGTAGCTTTACTTATAAATTTTCTATAGGATAGGTTTGAATTTTTGATTTATTCATCTGCAGTTTGACATTTCCTTGTTCAAAACCGTGGAGAATTTATTCTGTTGTTTTTTTAATTATATAAATAAATATGTTGAACCCAAAACCTGAGTGTGTATTACTGTCTTAAATCCATTTGCATAGGTCCACCGCCAGAAGTTAAGTTGTGATTCAGATTTATGATGTACTATTCTCTTAAAATGTCTATTACCGGAACATTACCTTATTTCTCCGTTGAAGAAGGGCATCAAATTGTATTCTTATGACTTACGAAGAGTATAAAACTATTACTGAAAATATCTAATGCATACCTGGATATTTCATATTTATTAAAATAATCAAAACGTTTCTTGCTATATTATCCAAATCGCTATCGGGAAATATTCTTATTCGTATAAATTTTTAAATGATTTTTAGTTAGCTCGTCGAAGACAATCCTAAACAGCAATGGCAACCATAGCATCTAAGTTATTCGGCATGAATTACGATAACAAAAAAAAAGTCTTTAAACCGCCGTATACAGGACCGAGAGATCGCCAGTTAATCGGGAGAGCCGGTTAATACGGAGACTATACATTTTTTTTAAAAATCCAATATTATTATAACTTCTCTATTGTGGAAAAAATAATATGCAACACACAACTTAATCAATAAAGGTTATGGACATATTAATTCAAGAAGATAACGTTTTTTGGCCAATTCAATTTAACGATTTACAAAAATTTCTTGTTTTTCACAAAACCAGTTATTTTTCTTATTATTTCATCAGTCCGTTTTCATTTTTCACTCATTTTGTCACACTAAATAAAGGAAGGGTGCAACACACTGAAAAGAAAAACGTAGTACACAAACAAAAACCATTCCAAGAAAATGTGTCATGACTAACTTCGGTAATATGCGCAGTTACGGTACTAAATAGGTAGTACTGCGTCGGTAATTACGCAGTATTTCTTCTTCATTTCTTTTTCTTTTTCATTTTTCTATGAAATAAATGAAGGATAAGAATATTGTTTCAAGAATCAATTTTACTTCGAAAAGATTCGTTTTATATAAGGTTTGGTCAATTGTCAAAATAATAATAAACAAAAAGTTTTACATTTTTCAATATATTTAAAACCAATCGATCTGGAACAAAAATTAAATTTATAAGTGCCAAGAATCTCATAAAATTGTAAGGATGTTAGATTTTTTTTCCTTTACTGATTAATCCGGAAAGCCGGTTAAGCGGAAGTCTACTGTAGTATCAAAGGAAAGACCCAGTATACCGGTTCTTGATGCTCATATCGAAAATCTTTAAAACAATTTATCCTGTAATGAATCCTTTAGATTTTTTTTAATGACTTTTATAAAAGTTGCAGGAATTTAAGGATCAAAATTGAAATTTGTCACTTTTCTAAAAAATTCCCTTTCGCTCGATACCTGTTTCATCGATATCCATCCCAAAAATGGATAGATACTCTAGTATTATATATAGAGTAGATGGATGAAATCATAATCAATAATACCAAACGCTCCGCCAATTTTAGGATGCTTTATCTGGAAACCTAATACCTCCTAAGCTCAGTGTTGATTAGAGGATCTGCCTTAACCCCCTGTGGTTGACTCATCAAGCACAAATCCAGTCAGCTCACAGCAGTGAGTACAGACAGCAATGGCTTGTACTAGCTAAAGTGCATTATCCCTGACATAGTTGTCTAACAGCTGTAAATGCTTTTACAGCGGTCGATCAAATTACTTATGCCAATACTAGTAATTTTAAGAAATGAGATGTTTCTAGAATAAATAAATTTACATATCCCCTGATATAAGTAAACACGTGCATATGTTTATGACATGCTATGATGATACACCGACAAGGACCCAAGCAGTGGGGAAATACGATGGAACGGCTATCAAGATGCAACAGAGAACAGCATCACGACCAGCTCGCCTTACATTACCTGGGGCAGTCACCTATTGCAAAGTGCCTTCCTCATCATCTTTATGAAACCAACCGATATAACTATTCATGCCACGTGCCAAATATCTCATAATCGATACTCAACAACAGGCACGTAGGTAAGGGCTGTCTTCAATCTCCCTCTTCCTCTCCCTCCCCTCCGAATATAGATGGAATAGTGCATAAAAAAAATAAAGACATCAACATCAACTGCAGGCACGATAAATCTCAAAATACATCGCTGATCATTATATTGGTAGGATTAACTTTAAAGTTTCAATCCTTTTCCCACCCAAATACAAGCCAATACTTTTAACACCAAGAGGTCAAAGACTAACTAAATAGAAATAATAGAGGAAGGAGGTAGTCCGATCATAATACATAAATTCTGAATTACGATACATAACATAGCATTCATGACATTTTTGAGGAAAAAGAAAGAGCCAGCTGATAAAGCAATTCGAGATAAGACTTCAAGTAGGTGGAAAAGTTAACAGGTGACGTCAGGACCAATAATAACTTCCACTAATATACTTCAAATCCCCATCGTCACCTTTATTTTATATAAAACAAGCGATTGCAAAATTATTGTATCATTGTCATGACTCGTCATCAAACGCAACTGTTAAGATATGTTTGATAATATAAGACATTTTAAAGTCAGAATTTATACTAATACTAAAAAAAAAGATTAAAAATAAGGATAAACAATTATTAAACAGAAAAGTTCCATCGAAGGTTAACGCAACCAATCTGCATGATGCTTCACCTTATTAATGGAACCTTAATTAATGGATTTTGTACAGGATAGCAATTTGTATTATCACGTAGCTACTCAGTTATCCTCTCGGGGGTGAATGGATGCATTCTTCAACTAAAATACTTTGAAAAATTTCTTTGAGATCATTCCAAAACAAATATGGACAACAAAAAAAACTACCAAACAACTAAAATAATCACAAATACAGATGAACAGCAAGTAAAAATTGAAGAACATACTACAAAATATTCAAAACAATTCATTGTTTATTATAACTATTAAATAAACCGATCGCCTAGATTTTGTTAGAGACCATTGAAATTGTCGACAAATCAAACTAAGAAATCATTTTAACTAACATAGGGCAATTGTACACTAACTTTGAAAAATGGGAACGAACTACCATACACTAACAAGATTATTAACCGTTGATGTACGACACACAACGCTCTTGCGAAATTCTCCCGGCAGTATATTCACTCAGGAACATAATTGTGAAGGGAGTTGGGACACAGCTAAGCAGAAACACATAAACAAACCAAGATTAGAGCGCGAGATAAAACGAGAGGACCATTAAAGGAGTCCTCAATGAGCGGCTGGATAAGGGATAAGTTAAGGACCAAAAGTCGTCCTTGCAGGACCTCTCTCTCAGTCCACTCACGTATCCCTCCGACAGGAGCCAAGCTAGCTAGATCAACAGATATCACACCGCATATCCACCAGCTGGATATCTCCATCATGGAAGGGAGTGGGTGTAAATATGGAGAAGGTGGTAGGACGCAAACTATAATTCCAATCTCAAATTATGGGTCATTAGATGTTTTGAAGCTGTCCATTAGCTTCGATATCTGAGTATTTCATCAAATACGTTTATCCAGGTATGGACATTTCTGTATGGAAATTAGGTTACTGTACTACCCAATCAATAATTGGACATGAAAAAAAGTAGGAACTCATTTTGTTTTTTAGTTTTGCAAGGAATTTAATGATCTTTCCATTTATCATTTACATAATCAGACAGTACCTTTTGATTTATATACAAATAAATATCTCTATTGTTCAGAACTTTTTCGGGAAATAATCCTTATTGTATGGAGTTAGCGGAGAAAGTAATCTTCAAAATAATGACTCCATAATTAGTATGGATGAAGCATTAAATCACGGAAGATATGGCGTAGCATAACAACAAAAACAAACTTAGCAAATGTCTATTAATATTTTATTCTTACCCAAATATTTCTTTAATTTCTTAGATGAACAAATATCGGTGATTTTTTTGGAACAAGTAAATTATGGATTAATTTAGAGCAGGGATCTCCCAAACTATGGCCCTCAGACACCTTCTTTCCGGATCGCTAAAGTTCCTTTGATAAAATTATAAATATAAATTCTATGATAAAGTTTTTAAAAATATGAAATTTAGTAATCACTTAAACATAAGGTTACAACATTTTTGTCTAAATTATTTCTCTTAAAAACTGATTTCACAATTAAAGCGTTATTTATAGAACAATCTTATTTTATCATACGCAGAGTGGCCTGAGATTTTGTTGAGATGTCTCATTGTGGTCCGAGGGCCTAAGTTTGGAGACTGCTTGTTTATGTTATAAATATAGCTGGTTGTATTTCAATAATTTTTACATAACATTTAAGTTCTTCTCATCTTCGACTTGGTCTGTCCCTAGGCTTCAGAATGGTCAAGTTAATTATAAAATCATTTTATTCTAGCAAAAAAGATTTTGTGTCAAATCTTAAACCCCCCCCCAAAAAAAATCATTTTATTGGTACATTTTCATTTTACCGAAGCGAGGATGACCTTTCAATTAAAGTGATTATTAGATAATAATTATTTAAAAATATTGATACGTTAACAAAAAAAAAGAAGTTGTTTTTCCCTATTAGTAGTTGTTTTTTTTTCTAATTGGACATCACACTCGAGCTAGTGTAGCAAATACTCTAGACATATACGAACAGAATAACCATTGTGGAGGATGTAACAGATTACAATGTTTTTACAACAGTGATATCTCAAACGGTGTTATCGTCACGCTCCAAACCCCAGGTTACACTCTTCATGAGAAAGAGAAGCACGAACTCGGTTTATAAAAGGATAAGTTGAGTGAGAACTAAGTAGGAGTATCCACAAAATTTGAATATTTGAATATCGAAAACCAATATTTAAAATAAATAAATATATATATACAAGGAAAGCCGACTCACTAATGGGCACATCAAAAAGAGAGCAATTTTAACATAGTAAATAAAGAATACTGGTTTCAATATTTTTTTTCTTTTTAACATTTTATACTTATTACAATGGTCTCGTAAAATTCTTAAATTGTTTTTTTTTTAACATTAAAAGTTATTTCTGGCATTCTAATAAGCTATTTAAAAAAAGAGACAACTGATCTAAGATTCCACTTCAGAAAGTACTATTTTATACTAAACATGAAATAGCAATATTAGTTTCAATATAATTTTCTTTTTAATAACCTTCTCCATTTCTATAATATGGAATAGTCGCTCAATAACAATTGCATTGTTAAGCATAATACAAATCTCTTCATATAATACTTTTTTAAAGAATGAATTAAATTAATAGAAGCAAATAGGAAATACGATTATGACAACGGAGCGGTTATAAGATAGCGAGTATTTTTACATAGGAAATTTACATAAACATGATAGGTAAATATAAACTTTGTATTTCAACATATATGAGTATTTTTAGTTGTATAAAGGATTCTACAAATAACTATGCAAAAAAAAAATAACAATACATGTTGTAAATAACTGTTAAATCGAAAATTTGTTTTCAGATTTAAAAATGGTCCAATGAGCCGAAACGTCGTCATCCCAAAATAAGGATTGCAAATAAAAACATAATTGGTGTACTATTGGCTTAATGAAATAAAAACTGAAATACTTTTTCGATAATTATCTTTCTAATGCCAATTAATATAAGCCGAAGAACAACTACCTCTTCTTAGATTTTGAAAACCGTTTATACAACAAATACGAATGTTATTTGGAATGGGTGTATCACCAAGTACACTGTCACTCAGGCCATAATTTAATCTCCTAAAGGTTAATTGTTTTCTCCAACGAAGCGTTAAAGAGGGAGGAAGACGCTGGCCCACGAACGACGCCTTCCGAACGAGCCGCTAAACTTTAAGTGGATATTAGTGTTAACCCATCCCGACCTCTAAGCTCTGCCGCGCTTTATCGATTCCCTTTCCAGTATAATCCGCTTAAACTTGGTTCAATTCCGGTTTTCGAGCGTTTTTTCAGGATAATGTTCGAGGTGAGAGACAACAGTGCGCCAGGGAAGTGGGATTCCTAACCCGGGATCGACAAGGCAGAGGGAAAGTGCTTACAATTAGGCAACAGGGAACCTCTCAAGTCCTGGTTGGTATCTTCGGGAATTCGTAATGAGGACACGTATTGAATTGTCTAATCCAAAAGAGGAAAATTCAAAATATTAATTTTCACTACAAGTAATAGAATCCAATTTTCAACAGATCTTCACGTTTCACAATACCACAATGATCTTGTATACATTCGGCGGGGTAATCATGCAACCAGTGCCAAGTATTGCAAACCTCTTAAATGTTTAAACTCTTAAAAGATCAAAGTCGAGAAAATTATTTACGAAAAGTGTGTTAAGTATGGCCGCTATCACTCTTGATTTCAACGCATCCTAAAGTTTTGTTTGTCCTGTAAAGTTTTGTTAACTTCCTAAAGGCACGGAGAAGGTTATTTTAAAGTTTTGATGTGTTTGATTATTTGTACTTTATTTGTGCACAATATCCACAGAAATGGAATGTAAAGACAACTAGGATGTCTTCTACGTATTCATCAAGTTCTTTGCCTTCTGAATCATGTGAATCTTATATAAATACAGGAGTGAGCCGGTGCCACTGGAAAATATACCTCGGGTTTAATATATCACAGCTATTTGTTTGGTTCGTAGTTTTTTCACTTACTATAATCAAAGAAGTCTATTACTCACATTATAGAAGATATTTATTACAACTGCATTTAGTACACAAGGGATCATAGAGCTATTCTCCTCCATTTACCTAATCAATATATTTTTAGCTGTAAAAGGCAGGGTCTGGGATATGATAATAATACCTAAGGATAATTTATAACCATCATTAATTTACCCAACCTAACCACCCCATATTGACCCGTAAACTTTAAAAAGCATTTGTTGGATGTCTATTGACAATACAAAGGGACTTCGGCTAGAATAACTGGATAGTAGTTTGGAAAATGATTTAAAAAGAAACTGTTTCAAGTATTTTCGTTTTTGCTTTACACTGCCACAGAATAGTTCCATCCCCTCCTTCGAAGCTCTCCCTTTTACAGTTGCTAAGACAGCTATCCCCCGGATAAGGAATACAGTGACCAGTGATTGAAGAAGGAGTATTGAGACAGGAGGTCCAAAGATGGTTATGGTCCTCGAAGGATTTCCATTAACACACTTTTCCCAGCCGGTCCTTGGCCCAAGCAAAAGCCACATCACAGCATTTAATTGTCACTCAATTCCTGACTCACTGTCAGTCAGACGTTGATTCATTGGATTACTTCGGTAAAATACAGTCGACAGGGGTTGAGAGTATTCATTTTAAAGGCATAGGCAATTGAATTAAAAGATTTATTAAATGAATGCATTTTTAATTTGCATATTTTAAGATTATAAAAATCAGAATAAAAAAAATTAAACTATCTACAGTAGGAGTTCACAAACGTTTGGGATGGCAGGACACTGAAATAATTAAACAAAATTTACGGAACTCCAACAATCATTATTTTTATACGATAAAATAAATTAGAAAAATAAAAAAACATAGAATTATAAAGTTAATGTTTAGTTTAATTATTTTTAAAATTCCAGGTGATCGAAATACGTGGATGGTTTTAGAAAAAAAAAATATTATAAATACTATCAGTAAATGAAATATGTCTAATATGGTGGAAGGAAATATATATTTGCAATCTTTAAACAGAGCCGCTATGCATCAGCTTATATTTGTTGCCAGAACCCATTAGTTGATGTAAATATATATTTACAAACACAGTAGCCTTCCATTAATTTACAAAATAAACAATTAACAGTAAGCTCTGTGTTCTAATGAATTATTAATTACTCTTTGAGCTTAAAAAAAAAAAAAAAAACAAAGGAAAGAATAATGAAAAACATAAAATTGAAAGCTATATTTGTGGTTGAATTTTGATCATTAATACCGATATACCGTTAATTAATTTACTCATAATTTTTTCTACAACATGTATGCTATTTGTCTTTAATAAATTTAAACCATTAAATCAATCGACAAGTATTCAAGTTGGGAATAAAAAATAATTTGTAATTACAAATTAAAAATAAAAACACTTATTTTGATAATTGTTAAACATTTTTGGATCCATTTATTGTCATATAATTGAATACATATTTTCGCATGCTCGTTTTAATCACTTATATATCTAATAATTTTGTTTTTACACACAAAATAGAAAGTAAGAAGAAATTGAAAAATATTGAAGATATTTATTCTGGGTTCAATATGGTCAATTTACAATATATTATTTATATAAATAAAAAAAAAGAGTTAATCCATGAATGATTTTTCTTAAATAGTAAAGATATTTTCAAAAACTCTTACTTTTTTTAATTATTCCATGTATATTATTCATTAATAACCAAAGCGATATATTTAGGACACAAATTTAAATTAATAAATATTTTTTTTAAATAATTCTGGTCATTATCCGAAAAGCCATCTGCCGATTAATGATAAAATAAGACAGGTAAATTAGGATGCTTAGAACTGATAAATAGAGACTATGGAAGCAATTTTGAGTTTCTTATATAGTCTACGTTAAATAAGACATCATTATATTAATAATGATTAATTAATTATCAGTATGTGATCATAACATTTCACATTTTTCATGCAAGGATTTTGTGCAAATTAGAGTTACTTTAATATTTATCCAACTTAACATCAAGAATTGAGAGAATTTTAAACAATTTAAATGCAATAGTATTTCATCATTTTTAATAATTACATTGATAAAAACTAAAGTCACACACAAAAATTAACATATTTAAAAGAAGAACCCTCAACCGACAGAAAGACATACAGACTAGTCATTGTAAAGTTCAAACATTTGACCAATACACCTCAAGGAAAGATATTACAATTACAGACATTACAAATAATGTTACATACGAATATATAACTAAATATAAAGACAAGTTAGAGGGTGACTTACCGTGTGAGGGGAAGTTGAGGACTTGGGCTTGGAAGCCGCAACGTAGGCCAAGTATTGGATCACTTTCTTCGTGTTTTCGGTCTTACCAGCACCTGACTCTCCGGTACATAGGATGGACTGATCTTCCTTGTCTAAAAAAATTAAAATAAATTAGAAAAACTATTATATATTAAAAGTAAACGTTTAAAATTACATATCTATACTAAGCAAATAAACATGAGAAGAAATACTGTAAAAAAAAGAAAAAAAAAAAAGAAGACTTAGGGTCGAACTTCCAATTTCTCAAAGGTATATATATATATATATATATATATATATATATATATATATATATAATATAGGAAGCTTAGCTATTCTGTTTTCAAAGAATGAAAATCTTTAAGAGTAAAAAAAACAAAACAATTTTATTGTAATTACTTATTAAAACAAATGGCATGAAAGACAACTTAAGTAATTAGTATAATAAAATATGGCCAGTAATTTTTTTATCATTATGGTACGCAATTTCTTCATTTTACAACTGGTCACAATTCATTTGAAAAATTAAAAAATATAAAAATAAAAATCATAGAAAAATAATAACACATTATGGGGCTCATTTAAGTCATAATATTACTTTTATTTTTTTCTAAACTAAAAAAAAAAAAAGATTAGATAACACCAACGAGGAACAAAAAAAAAGATATTGTAGGTTTATTGAAAAAATAAGTGCCGTAACCTAAAATAATTAAGAAATTTAATGACTTTTCTCTTTGTGAAATCAGCCAATTTTGAACCTACTTCAACTATATATGATATATAAATTGGCGTGTGTCATTTTCATGCACTTACGATGTTTTTAAATAGTTAAATGTAGTCAAAATTCACAATAACATAGTTCAAAAGTCAACCTATATAAAAAATGCCTTTAGTGACTTTTATAGATCGATCAATATATTTAAAAATTAAAAAGAAAAAATAATAATAAATAAAAAATGTGGAATCTTGTTGATTCTTTTATAAAAACAACTCGTTAAAAATCATTAAGGTGAAAATTAAAGTTAAATAAAAAGACAAAAGTTTGTTTATTTAGGCTTTAAGGCGTAAAACCCTGAGGTCATTAACGCCTGTGAGTCAGTTATGTTTGTAAACCAAAAGACATAAGTAAAATAAAAGAAAGAAAAATATATAGAAAAAAAAATAATAAACAGCATGAACATTAGCCACAGTAATTAATTTTTATTAAACATATTTGAGGCAAAATATATCTATATATTACTATAACTTAGAAATTGTATATAAATATATATTTCAATTATACATTTTCTTTTTTATTTCATAAAGTTTTCTGTTTGTGTTCTATTTTTATACATATTATAGATTATAGTAATCCCTTTATTTATAATAATTATTCAGAAATCAATTAAGTACATGTAATAACATAAAACCAAGAATTATAATGCGAACGCAATATATCCAGAGAACCTGCCAGCCTACAGAAACTATCGGAGTCAGTTGAGCTTCCACTGTTCCCTGCTAGATGTCGCTGTGAGAGGTATGAAAGTTACATGGAAAGCAATACTTTTCACGACACTTAAGCTAGAAAATTTTCTATTCACTGTTTCATCGTAATGAATTGAAGTTGTTAGGAACATTTTTCGAAAGTGAAAAGCCGAAATTGGGAAAAAACATTAAACCGGAGTTTGTTTTTATGAGAATGGTTTAAATGCCGCTCAGTAACATAGTTAGCCGTGAAAGAACAAGATGATCACACATCTCGAGTGAACTTAGAAAGTATTTTTTCAAGAACAGGCATAGTTACTTACGTAGCTAAGCCTACAATCACTCATAATCTCAAAACAAATAAACAGTAAGATCTATAAATGTATGTGCTAACTCTGTAAATTATTATGAAGTATATGTACCCACCTATGGTAAACTTATCATTAGGAATTACAATTATTTACATACAGGGACTTCAACGTACGCATATTAACGATGATAAATTTGCTCATTCATCTTATATATACATTATTTAAACATTTAAATCTCATATACGTTGTCACTGTGTTTTGATGGATTTTACAGTATCTCAATTTTCTATTCACATCCTATTATTATGTTATATAACTTCATATTCCTTTTCTCTGTTTTACTTTTTATTTAATGATTATCTCACTTCCTTTTAACATATTATTGAATCATATTTTAGCAACTATGTCACCCCCATTTATTTTTTACCTCATACATTCTACTACTTTTCCTTATTAATTCATTTTTCATTTCTTATATGTTACCTTATTTTGATTATGTTTATTTCATTAGTCCCCACTTTGTCATTATTATTTATTTCTTAGTTCTCTGTAACTGTTATTATTCTATCTACTTTATTTTACTTTAAGCTCACTCTACCTACTTTATTTTACTTTAAGTTTATCCTACCTATATTTTTTAATCAGTACCTTTCACCTACATATTCTTTATTATTATTATTATTCAATGTTTTTCACATCTATTGTTATCTGTTTTTTTCTTACCCCATTCTTATTGCATTGAATGTGAACAAGTGCTTGAGGTAATGTCATCAAACTTTCGGGTCCATTCAGTAGTATATTTTCAGTCGAGTGAATACCACTTAGTAATTATGTTTAGTTGCATGGTATAAAAAAATCATTCAGAAAACGACATCTTGTTAAAAAATTTTACACGAAGATTAGAGGGATAGTAGAAATAGAGTAAAAGTCAGCTCTGCTTTTTGTGCAGAAAATGTATGTTTTGTAAAGGTACTTTCATTAGTGATATTCACATGTTATAAGTGTATCAACGTAATGCGTACTATATCTTAAAGCAATACATGCACAATAGCGTTAAATTACACACCATAGAAAGAATTTTCTTTCTTCATCAAAGCATAACCGACTTACTCGAATCATATTAACCCTCTCATATGAGATTACTGCTTAGAAACTAATTCTTTAAGATAAAAACTCATAGGATAAAAGTTATAGATCAATCAATTCTACCTCCACCGAATACTAACATTTTTAAATTAATACGCCGCTCCCATTGGCATTTCTGATAATTAAATCAGCGGTTTTGCAAATGCAGACAACGTTCATTTTACTTAATAAATATCGTACATTTCATAACTGACATTCGAACCTTCTGCTTGGAGTATCTTATTTTGTTTCTGACTCCAGGGTAATTGGCAATCTTCAAATTCAGACATCAAAATTGTTATTAAAGATCATGTTGGATAAACCCAGAAGTATTGAATAAAGTTTTACCAAAGCACTAACCCTTGCATTGAAGCATCAACTCAAAAACTCATTAACAATCTGTATGTAGTATAAAAACGCATTACGTGCATCAAAACGTATACGTAAATAAAGTATGCAATTTTCTGGTTTTACAGACAAAAATTAAACGACATAATGATTTATTGTAATTAATTAATAGTTGATGGACTTTGCGCAATATAAATTAATCAACAAATTGATTAAGCAATCTTGATAATTAATTAATTTTAAAAAATGCGGTAGACTATTAGCACGAGGGACGATTAATTATATAGTAACAAGAGATCAAACAAGAGGCGAGATCAAATGCAATGCTTTTCTACCATCATTTGTCTTACCGAGATCTTATCGAACCACCGCACAAACCCACTATACAGTGAGAGAAACAGAGAAATACGGAGCAGTAAAAACAACTCACAATCTTTTCAAAAAACGTAACATCAGATTAATTAGGTGTTTTTACATGGTAATCGATACTTATATCAATTTCCCCCCAAAAAAAAAATCAATTAGGGCTTAATTCATATGATCGCATTCCGCCTTAAAATAAGCTGGAAAAAGTTATTAAGCCATAGAGGTATGAAATAAGGTTTTGGTTCAAATTTAAATACATATATTAAAATTGCGTTACGAAGTTTTACGAGTTAAATATGGTATAATTTTTATTTCCCTTAAATTAATTTAACTTTCGGTAAATTATAATTATCTTCGAACCCTGCAGGGCATTCGGAAAAAAAAATTAATAATAAAAGGCTTAGTGAACCTGAAGGTTCGATGCCGATAGCACTAATTGCTGTTTACATATTTCCTTCTATCGTCTTCCGTTCTAAATCCCCTCACTCAAATCTTCCCACTTTCGCTTCGGACATCCCCTCGGTACCATTCGGCACAGCACATATTAACCTTTACCTTTAAGAGATTCTTACTAAGCCCAACAATTTTACATACCAATTTTATTCGCCGTAATGTAACCAACTCAATTATATTAACCGGATCCAGAACACGCGATTTGGCGTTGTGTAACCGTCTAACTTCCACATTTGACTCATCTTTCTTCGGTCTGAATATTATACGCAATACTTTTTAAAAATCTTAAGACGTTCTCCTTAATGTGAACGGATATATTTCGTAGCCATAAAAAACCGTAGTAGGTAGGCTAATGGTTTGGTAAAATATTATTATTTAAGTTCTGGGACAGAAGGCGCGAGCTGAGTAGTTTTGCTAAAGAAACATAGCAAGCATTACTCACCTTTTAACTTAACCTTAATCTTCTTTTCAATCTCTTTTTTAATCTAGTTATCAAAGTTTCTAAATATCTAAACTTCCCTTATGTTCAAACTTATTCATTTCTATATCTATATAATAGACATTGTCGTCGTTAGTGTAGCTAAGTATACGGTTTTATCTGGTTGTTTATACTTTTTTTTTGTGAGTATCTCAGTGTTTCAGTAAAAAATTAAAAATTGAGAAATATCTCGCACTGCTACTACACAGACCAAAAGTTGCGCAATGAATACAGTTGAGAAGCAGCCCGTTGATAGTTGTTGACATGGAGGAACACGCAAGGTATTTAGTGCTCTAATGACCACTCTCCTACAGCCATGGGAAGCTATCAGAGGTCGCGATGACTTCACAATAAACTATCAACAACAATTAATACATAGAGCAATGAGGCGATAGCAGGCGAGCTGGCTACAAATCGCTACAGAGGATCGGCAACGCGCACAGTATGCTAATGCCTCTGTACCAGTTCGATTCCACACCGGTTGAATAAATGAATCCTAAGGAGCCGCCGGCCATCTGTTATCTCCTTAAGGAGAGCCATCATTTTCTTTTATTTATTAATCCTTGTGTCCTTCTTACGAAATGTTTACTCTCCCGTCCTATTCCATATTTGTTCGCTCTATGACTAATCGCTACTCCCAAGAACGAGGCCCAGAAAGGGAATAGGTATCAGTTAAATACCCATATCTACATTCTACTTAATGAATATTGAAATTTTATATATTTTTTAATAAATATTAAATCAATGTAAAATGGTGTCATGCCAGATACGGAATCATAAGTCCAAAACACGCTGAAATTAATTAATAACTAGCGATATCATTTATTAAATTAATTAAGATAATCAAGAACGGAATGAGGTTAATAATAAGATAAATCATGTCGTACAAAAAGGAACAGCCTCACTATGAGCCGAATGTAGAAAAGCCAAAGGAATGTTTACCAAATTTGTAATGATTAATAGCTTCCAGTATTTTGCTATTTGATATAAAAACATTTTGCACGTGATTTAGAATCTATTAGAAGTATGTGAACTTTCGCTCAAGGTACATAGAACTTAGATGAATGCAGTATGTGCTTGTTAAATATTAATTGGCACGTGCGAATAATTCAATTTCGCTCTCACGAGAGGAGGTCATAGTCAGTGAGTTACAGATTTCGACCAAATTTATTTCGGTGATACTAAATTGAACAATATTAGACACGTGTCCCAAGAGTTCGTTCCAATGGGCCTTAAAAAAAAAAAAATATATATATATATATATTTTCAAATACAAAATTTTTTCTTTTTTCGGCTTCTGCTTAGTCCGGAATTCTAGGTTATTATATACCCATCGATTTTTATTTTAGTGTATAATAAAACAAATTATGCTTGGTTTGGGCAGCGGACCTGTTCTCCAGAAGAATTATTTGATTTCTTAAAGAGTTCTAACTGGAAAGCCTTAAGCATTTATGTACAGCAGGCCACACTGGAAAGATCTCAATAAGTCAGATAGTAAACTATTGATACAATATCGTGTTTATTTATTGTAGCGTTTGTTTTATTGTTATATTGTATTTGATGATTATTATTGTTGAATTTAAATTTCTTATTTATTGGATTTGTGATGTATTAATGTTTGTTTTTTAAAAACTCGAAACAAATGAGACAGTGAAAAAGATTGCTAAAATGGATGTATAAAACCATAATAATACTGAAGGATATATTATTGCTCATTTATTTTAGTTATAAATGTGATGAATATTTATTATTAATTTCACACAGACCTCGACAGACGGAATTTTCCATTGTCTATGTGTTGTTGATTGTATATATATATATATATATATATATATATATTTTATTTTGTGTATTTTTTTAAAAAGTTTAATATACACGTTTTCATTCATTTAAAACAAATTATGCTGATAGTAATTAATGAGTTATAATGAATTATAAATAAAATTTTCCTAGCCCCTATGGATAAGGATATGAATTATTACAAAATGTTTTCTTGTTTGGCTTTTTGCTGAATCTGAGATTCATTTTAAAGCCTTTTTGTGATATATATTTTTTATGATCTTTTTGTTAATCTTTAGATTAACATTTTCGGGAGTAAGAAGACGTTGGGGCACGTCTTCGTTATGAGTTTTTTGTAATTATATCGAGTCATATTTTATTTTACATATAAAACGCGGGACAGACCGTAACGAAGACATCACATTTCATATTCCCATAATTATTTCTCCCTTATTATGGTTACAGATTCAGATCAAGAATAATTATATTTAAAATATAAATTGATTTTTAATGAAATTAAAAATTTATCCGAACCGTGGTTCCTTCCCGTTTATTCTGTATTGATAAAAAAATAATACATTTTGAAAACTACAGAATACATGTAAATTACAGTGAGCAACGAGTAGTACAATTAAATGAATAGTTGAATAATATGTAAAATGGGGGTTGGTCGGCCGTTAGACAAAGTGTACTCCCTAATAAATATAATAATTCTTAAGGTTTTCAACTTTCTTTCCTCCTTTCATTTCTTTTTTTTTTTAAATATCCTTAATGCTCCTTGGTATGTAACTGATAACACTATCCACAAAGAAGTTATTATTCTATTTATTGCTGATTATGTCCGAAATAGATATGGCTCCTTTAATCTAAAATTCCTATCCCGGACTAACCAACTCAACCCTTTCAGCCTCAATCCATTCAAGATTAACCTTTAAGGCGACTGAAAAGAGAATTGAGAGACTTCTTAACTTTGAGAATTTTTTTTTTTTAAATCTGTATTTTGTGAAACAAAGATATAATTGGCCTGACTGGAAAATTACAGGACTTTCGAGTATTTATTGAAGAACTCATACTTGAGTATATTTATTAATAAAGAACCTCTCGTTAGAGTTATAAATATTTTACTATTTTCATTTTTTTTTTTTTTATTAATTTTAAGAAATAGAAGTTAGACTATGAACTCGCTAAAGTCAATTGGATAATGAAATACCATTTCGAACTGAAATCTTGCCTAGAGGCAAGCGGCTACTATAAAATTGACTCTAATGCTCGACAATGGATACCCTGACCTAATATCGACTTATTCTGCAGTATCAGTTCGATTGCTCCCATATCGACCATTGTTCCTCAAGTCGTTAGTATGTATCCTCGGTCTGCTTCGCTATTGAGGTCATCTTGTCTTGTCTGTCCTCGCAACTTTATAACAACTCTCGTCTTGTAATAGTTTTAAAAAATAGTTTATAGAGACTATACTGCCTGCTTAAGAGATGTTAATGGTTTATTATCATAATAGATAATGTTAAGTTATCTAGTCATAATTATGCCTGTGATTTCATCTTGAATATAAATTTGAAAGGAAAAGTACAAGAAAATTTATTTTTAAACCTTCAAAATATTAATTTCAAGAGAAAATCAAATGCGGTAGTGTTTTAGTACCTAATTAAATATAAAAAGTTTGCCGACATTTAAAAATTATTTTTGTGTTTTTTCTTGCTTACCGTTCTCTGTTTTTTAAAAATTGTTTTCAATTTCAATAAACATACACAATTAAAAATAAATAAAGCAATGGATTCTCAGGTTATACATATACGTGAAAGATCTTCAAACGTTTTGCTTTATATTAGTATATAATGCATTCTTTTTGTAGTTTTACAATACATAAATATTGTATTTTTATATTTTGTATCCTCATTTGATGAACATATATCAGTCAAATTTAAGTTTTATCAAATCAACAAAGCCTTCGAATTGATAAAGCAAAACATTTTATCCTACAAACATCAGGCA